TCTCAACACATGCATCTCCCATCAAGTCCTCTTTCACTGCCCTTCTAACATCTTTGAATCCCTCCCTTTAAACGTTACTCTTGTGCCAGCACTTACAAAGTCAACTGTTCTCCTCTCCTGCCAGACCAGAGCAAGCCATATCCTAAACCTACTGCCCGGCACCCTGAATTGCAATCAAAAAGATTCGTTGCTTGCTTTAGGGTGGAACAACAGAGGGAAAAAATCAGCATTACTTCAATAAACTCTTCAGCCATTGATTCTGCTTAGCTAGAAATAAAATTAAAAATATGTGTAGCATCACCTGCCCAGTGTGGTGGCAACCTCTGGCCACCAGTGTGTCCCCAGCTGTGTCCCATCCAGGCTCCCCGTACAACAAACACCAGGAGAACAGGTATAACCAAGGGAAGACTCGGACCCTGCACACTCAGTTCCCAGCTCGTAATAACGGCAAGGGTGCACCCTGGAAAGTCGGAGTTCAGCCTAGACGTTCTCAGGGTATAAGCACCCTCTCTACATACAGCTGCCACGATCTGGCACTGAAGTCGTAGCGGTCGGCAATGTTTGCAGCCCCAGGAAACTAGTGATTTTGGAAAGCATCTGCACCACAGACAGCTCTTCGCCTACGCAAAGACTGAATTTAATGGAACAATCTAACAGCAAAATTGAATGAGTTTTAAGTATCGTCCCAATTTGGTAGGGCGCTGTAAGAAATGCTTAATTTTAAGACAACACTTAAGCACTCTGCTGAGTATGAACTGGATGTTTCTGGAATTAAACACATGCTTAAAGGACTCGCTAAAGCACAAAGAAATGAGATACCAGGTAAATCCTCTTGCAGCTCTGTCTCAGAAAAGCAGAAAAGTGTATTCAATTATAAAAGTAAAGTTATTGAAAAAGCTTCCTCATTTGAGAGGCACCAGAGAGATCACAGCACAGACTTCACCAATTACTTACGTAAAATCAGAACAATAGCAAGTGATAATCACGGATTGCAAAACGTTCTTAAAACCCTTCTGCTTCCAGTGAGTTATTCCTCACGTGTTTTGATTAAATGAGCTTTATTTTGGAAATACAGACTTCTACTGATGTGCTGTTTCACCTGGCTGTTACCAGATTTGAAGGAAGAACATGCCCTGAGCTGTGCAGAAGTGCTTTATAGCAATAAGCAAGCAGAGAAGCCAGCAAAAGCAAAACTAATATCAGAGTGAAAAACTCAGAGACTCTTACAACTCTGAAACTTCTCCTTTGCAGAGATTAGAAAAACACAAGAGTTTTTTTGGCTTTACTCTTCTCTTACTCCCCTTTTTCAGGGGGCAGAAATCACTTTCAGCTGCAAAGCAACTACAAGTATTTGGCTACACAGAAAAAAAAAAGTGATACTTTTGGGTTACTAGACAGAACTCTTGTTCTGCAGAAATGAAATCAGAAATAAAATTGGTGTTTGTATGTCTTACAAAACAGCACTTCCGACTTCTCCGAAAATTCTGCACCTTTTTTATTTCTTGGAGCCATTTTCCTTCCCTGACTTTCAGCGCCCTGAAGAACATGGAGCTGGCAGGCAGATTACATTACTACAGCGAACGGCGCGTGAAAACATCGACTACTGCAAACTGCAGCTGTCCTACTGCAGAGGCCAAGTTACTCACTCGGAGCGTCCTAACCCTGTTTCATAAACTCTGCAGCCTCTCCAGAGCCAGCCCTTCTCACTGCACAGAGCAGCCCAGCTCTGCCAACACCCCGCAGCCAGCGTTGCCCACCTTAAACCCAGGGAAGCAGCAGGCTTCAAAGAAGGACTGGCCCTTTGCTTTGGGATTTGCTCCTACCAGACTCAGAAATCCTTGAAACTCGGAGAGGGCTATGCAACCTGCCTAGTTTCCAAAGCTTTTTTTCATGCAAGTAAAGATAAATAGTTTTAATCCTATCAAAAATCTGTATTTAAATTTTTACTTAAAAAAACAACTCAACAAACCAAGCTGCTAGCAAGGAAAATGTTCCTAGAGAAAATCCTTATATTTTTTTTTTTTTTCCTAAAAAACTCCTACCCTTACGTACTGTCCTATTCCATGGCACCGCAGGACAATGTTTACCGTGCGGTTTTAATCTCAAAGATAAAATAAGCACCCTCAGGAATGATACACAACCGATGCACAAACACTGCTGGCGGAACCCTGCTCTCCATCTGCGGTGACCTACGTGCGCGCTCTCGCAGCTCCTCCGTCGGGTCTTGAAAGAAGCAACGCGTGCACCTTCCCTGCCAGAGGATGCAAAAGTCAGTGCACAAGCTCAAGACTACAGAAAGGAACACTTCAAGGGTTGCAAAATTTAAATTGTAGGCGTCTGTCTTTTTTTCTTTTTACATGAAGAACTGCAGCAGCTGGAAAGGGAAAGCTCATCTGATAAACAGAAATTCAAAATGTCACCAGCGTAATTAGTTTTTGAGAAAAATATTTACACTGCAGCTGAATCAAGCTGCTTTGCAGCTGAACCCTGGCAAAACTGCAACAACGGAGAAGGTTTTGTGTCTGCTTTTTAATAATTGTATCCTAATTACAGCAAAATTTCACCCCTTTCCAATGCTGGCTGGGAGAATCATTGTAAAATGCAGGGTCCTGAAAATTAGCAAGCAAGAGAACAATGAAATCCCCCCAAGGATAATGCATCACAAAACACACTGCGTTCATTTATTTGGCAAAGTGCAGTTTAATTACTTGTAAAAATAACGACTCCTTTGTACAGGCTCTCGCTAACATGCGTTGCTGCTCTGTATTTTGCTGAGTGGTACGAGTTGCGTGCCAAATTTGCGTGCATGGATTATGCAGCGTGCGCATAAAACAGAGTGCAGAAAAGAGGTTGTACAATATCCATTGTGTTTTGACAGTACATAAATGATATATACTCTCTTCATGGAATTTGGCTGCTTTTCTATGTTTTGAAACTCAATATATCTCCTCTCAATAGGGATTTTCAAGCCTCGATGCCATCTCACTGCAGAAAGCTCTACGCACAACAAAAATCTCTGCTAGGGAATCAGGATGTGTCTCTTCTGCAGCCACCACCCTCCCGTGGGGAAGGGCCATGGTGGTCCCCATGTCCCACAGTGCTCTCACCGCTCCGGCCAGTCCCGAGCTCATAGCACGGTGCTTTACGGCTATCCCACCCACTGAGAAAGGGATTCGTGACTTCCCGTGTCCACAGATTTCTGTCTGCAAGGCTTCATGGAGATGGCAGGGGTTTCAGAGTCACAGGGTATGTGGCATGGCTGTCAGATACATTTTATTTCCAGCCAGCAGTCCAAGAGGAAAACTAACCATAATGAACAGTTTAAGGATATACTAATAAGTACAGGATCTGGGATCTTGATGGTAACATGACTGAAGCTGCTAGTGTCTAATTTTCAAAGACGAACTGGAAAGGTCATCAGAGAAATCCCTTGGATTACACCAGCAGCATCCGTTAAAGTGAACAGCACAGGGCAATGCCATGTAATCCAAGCACTCTTCTTTTTAATTTCCACTGAGCGAGAACTGCCATTCCAGTATTGGAACTGGTTGTGAAATAACTCCACCAAATACATGAATAGCTGTTTTAATAGTTTTGTTTACTTCCCATTTCTTTTTAAATTACCAGCTCTACTCATACTCAGATTATAGTATTCTCTGTGAGCTCCATAATCAAGTTTTGGCCAACTTAAGCTTCCTGACAGCATGTAAAGTCTGTTAACAGGGTTAGTCTCACCTTGGAGAACGTTGCTGCAGTTACAGGATGAATTTGCACGTTCCAATTTTACAAGAAATCCTGCAAGAGCGTTGTGTCTTTTCACAGCATGACTGTTGAACTCGATGGAGAAAAGAGTCACACTGTCATCATCTCTGTCTTAATACCAGCCAAAGGTGGCAGAAAAAAAGGTTCGAGTATAGCTCCCGTCCAACCCTGCATCCTCTCCCTCACTCTCACTTTGCATGTGGTTGGCTGAATTGTTAAAGATGAAACTTAAGGGCAATCACTCCAGCAACACAGATCATATTTTTGCCCTCTAACACTCTGCCCAAAAACTATAGAAAGCAGAATAATTTACAATTCTTAATGGAGAAACGTTGCGTGATAATGTGGACAACACAGCAGACTCCTAAACATGACACTGGATCACTCAACATAAAACCCAAATATCTGAAAACTCAATTCAGAAAAACAAAGTTAATAACAAAGCTTAAGAGAACCAGGCATCAGAACAACACACATGCAGACCAAATCTGTTCTCCTTTACAAATAGCCCCCTCAGGACTTATTTAAGCTCTTTGTCTTTATTAGCCTCAGCTTTTAAAGCCAGATCTCCAAACATTTGCTATTCAAAAATAACTTGTTGTCTTCTGAAGGGTTCCTTGTAAAACGCTGCAGTAAATGCTCATGTCACTAGTTACTCGCTAGGAGCAGGATCTGGCTGCTTCTCAAGACCACTCAACAGAGAACTGTTTCTGCTGTTAAATACTTGCATTAATTCTTACCTAAATTTTTTACCTAGACTGGTAAGATACCTATTCTCTACAAGATGCTGCCTTGTTTTAATACAATTACCACTATTACCTTTAACCAAAAACCTCCAAATCTATAATGAAGAACACAACAGCCAATCACCACCATGAAGCCCGCTAGCTCCCCTCGTCTGGGCAGCTGTGCTCGCTCGAAGAAAAGCTTTTTCACTTGTGTTTGCCTAAGGTTTGCCTTAATTATTCAATATTACAGTGACTCACTTTGGGCTTTATGAGACAGCTGGAAGCACAACACTGTGCAACAGAAAAGGAGAACACAGCAATATCATTGCATTTCCCCTAAGCCCTAAGGACCTGCCCCCATTGTAACTAGCAAGAAAGGTAAAAGCAAAATTACACAAAAATTACCTTGAAGGGTAGAGTATAGGTCTTAGACACTATTCGGTGATAATGTACAGCAAAGGCAAGCATGATATAGAATGGAAAACTGGCAGAGGAACCACTAAATTCTCCTTACTCTGTTAAAAGCTGGTGCAGCTTCTGGTAGCCCCTCTCCAAGGCCAAGCTCACGGGAGTTGCCCCTTCGTTGTTGTGGATGCTGAGGGCTTTTCTTCCACCCGGCTGCTGGAGCAGAAACCACGTCAGCCGCAGCAGACCCAGCCTCACTGCAAAATGCATCAGTGTTTCCCGAGGGATGTTCTCTGGGAAGAAAAGATAAAAAAAAAAAAAAAAGGCAATTTTTAGGCTGCTGGTTAGGTGAATGCCATATCCCCACCTCCCAACCACACCACACTCAATGGCTGGCATGGAGCTGACAGCCCAAAAGCCGAGGAACCTACAGCACCTGGAACAACACGCTGGCTGCCAATATCCAGGAGACACCAGCAGCTTAATGCAAGGGACAGGCTACGGTGGAACTGGTGTGCTCAGGACCTCTCAGGGTGAGACTGACCACAGTAGTCACCGTGAAAGAAATACCATTTTATAAACAGCCACAGCAACCACCAAGTTGCAGTGCTTCCAAACAGAACCTGGCATGGTCAGGTGGGTCTTTCTAGATGTCCAAGCCTTCTCTTCACACACCCAGGACCAGGTTTTAGGAATGGACAAGTTTCGTTCTTTAATGAGACGCTGATTTGTCTCGAGGCATGAAGAAAATCTACATTTGAAGCACAAGTCTAAAGCGGTTACAAAAGAGAACAGTTTATCCTCTCATGTAGACCAAAAAAAAAAAGAAAGCGAGGATTTTGCTTTCCTGGTTTGATTATGCCTCAGACCAGCTTTTCTCAGCTTTATACAGTAGCTCTATCATTCTGAGTAGCAGCATTTATAAACCAGCGATCTCCACTGCTGCTTTTTATGTTTAATAACCGTGACCTTCTAATTTGGTAAAAGTCACTCTTGAGCCTAAGCTTTCATCTCAGAAAAATATCCCCCTACTCTAAAAGCTGCAGCCCTAGAACGATGCTCTGAAAAGCTTCAACCAGAAATGAGCTCCAGATGCACTGCTGAAACACAGTATTTGCAGATCAAAGCCTGTTACTTCTGTATGAAGGGCAAAAGCACTTAGGTTAAAAAAACTGCAAGAAATAAAAATTTGTTCTTTTAATTAACAAAGAATTTCAGTATTGAGTGGCAGCGACACCACCAACAAAAAAAAGTACCAACTGGGTCTCAATAAACCATGCCAATGAGCACACTTGGTATAATACCTTTAATATCACAGCAACGATTTATTGAGTTATTAATTTGGTTGCCAGCCAAGCCTATATAGCAGGTTTAAAAAATGCAAGTACATAACGGCTTTAGGATTTAATTAAGTATTTTTTCCTCAAGAAGTATGTCCCAAGAGAAATCACTTCTTCAAAGTGCTGTTGTTTTTCTTGCTTACTGCTTTCTTAAGGGACATCATTAAGATCTTCAGTGAAAAACAAAGCAAAAATGGGCGGTTCTCCCCTGCCTGACACACAGTTTTTCCCAACTTTTTGGATCAGTTCCTGAAGAACTAATCTATATTCAAGAACCAAAAGCTTTCTGGCACCGTCTCTCTTCCGAATGACTCCAAATTAGGTCTCTGGGCTACAAACCAATCCTTCCCCTCTAACCTCCTCCTGATTACCGTAAAGCAAAACCATGCTGTCCTGAATACACAAGTGTGTCTGAATGGAGGTTCCAGCTGATCAGAGAAAAAGGGAATAGCTGAGCTCACTCAGAGACAAATTCTCAGCCTGTGGGAGAGTAATGACGATGATTTTGGTATTAAGTGCTACGAATTGTAATGCTTTAGAAACAAACAACCCAACAAGGTAGTTAATCCATGGTTGTCACAGTTCTAGACTTAGAGAATAATGAAAAACAACGCACCATATAGGCAGACATAAAGGAAAGGCTATTGATGGGGTTGCAAAATGGAGAAAGTGTTGATACACGGAGGATTTACCCAGAGTGGAAGCAGATGCCCAAGGTTTCACCCAATGAACTGGTGCTTGCACAATATTCCTACACTATCTCTACTGACACACCGGCAGAGTCAGCACGACTACAGCAGCACAACTCTTCCTACCACAACATAGGAAGCACAAAAGCACTTCTGTTAGAGCAAATGACTGTTGTTTGAATACAGAATGTGCTGCACTGGTCTGATCGTGTCCGTTTAGCACGCGATCTCCTGTTCTAGCTGCAACTTCTGAAAAATCCCACCTTTTTCCCATTCTTTGTCATCAAACTAGTGGACACAGTAGTTCCAGCATTTGGATGGAGATGTCTACAAACACAACTGAACTGAATATGGCCCTGCCCCAACGCCTCTGAGCAACGACGACGTGCACAGAAGATCTGTACAAGAAGACATGGTGTGTTGCCATCCAGAGCACATTAAACATACAAACTCACTATCCAGGCCTATTTGGAAAGATCTGCCTAAAATATAAACTGGCATGAGGCCATCCTAACAGATGGGCACAGATGATGGCAGCAAAGAGACAAGTACTGTACATATAACAACTGCAGGGGCCCCAGGCAATGGCTTTAGAAGGTTTTGGAGCATCCAAAACTTGCACGGCTACAGTTAAAAGGCGTGTGCCATCTGTGAGCTGGATTAACTACTAATATATAATGAAAAATACATCTGTTGGTGTATGGTGTTGCTCAAAACAAGACCAGAGCTGGTCCAAATCAAGCACAGGAGTGCTACTGGATGGAGAGAGGTGGAAGACAGATGGATCTCTTCAGCCTTCCTACCTTTGAAGGGATGGAGTGTGTAGCACAAAACGTTGGAAATTCAGTCAATGATTTTGAGGTCTTGTAATGGTGCAAAACCCGTGTACCAGCCATGGAAGAATAACAGAAGCTTTATCATGCAATAGCCAGAGCTCCTTCTCCTACCACATATCAAGCTTCAGCTCCTCATCTTAAAACGGCTGTCATTTGGATGTCAATAAAAAGCTTCTTGTAATTAGGAAATTGTGGAAATCCAAGACACACGATACAGGAAAGACTAGGCTGTTTTGTTCCTTTCTCGTTTCCTAGTAATAGGCAACAGTTGAAACATATGATTATTGTCCCATAATGGCAGGGCACTCTAATCCAGCTGGCAAAACTAAGACTTTACACATATTATTTTTATGCATTTTTTTTGCAGCTGTGACACATGAACGGACAGTTTATCTGGGTAACTAAGGACAAAATTTCCACAGAAGACTGTCAAATGTACTTTGGTAATGGTAAAGGATTAAGGTGCTATTAGCACAAAACAAATAAGCATTGAAGAAAAAAAAAAAAAAAACAACAAACCAACAACAAAAAGAATATCTGTAACTATTACACTGACAGGACTCAACAAGAAACTATAAAGAGAGTGCAGCAGATTTACAGATTAAAGCTTTATGTCTGAAAAACACCACCAGGTGCGTATCTTTAACACCCACCCATGGTAAAAAATGTTAGCTCCTAATAATCAAATTTCCTTCTAACTATTTCTGAAAACTTTTTAAGTTTTTTTAGTCTTTTTGCTTTTTTCTTTAAAATAAGGTGCTTTTTTTGGTTACTTTCTCCCTTCAGACATTCTCCCTTTCTGTAAAAATCACAAATCAACGATCTCTAATCACAGTGACACTCATGTTGTGCTGTACACTGAAATCCTAACGGTTTTGTACGGAAAGTTATTCAACTTCTGCCTCAAATCCATTCAGACTCTTTCAAACCAGAGTAAAGCACTTCTACCCACCTCCTACCTGGTGAGCTCAGGGAATTTTGTTTCTCAAGTAGTACTTACTGCACGCAGATGTTTATTCTGCAGCATTTCTGGGAAGCTGTACATATTCAAGACATAACTTTGTTCCTAAAGTTAAGGAGCTGTTAAGCGTTTTACCTAACAACATGGTCTCCTGGTTAGATGTCTGTAATTGTGGCTGACTATCTCGCAGCTCATCGAAGGCTTTGCTTCTTCCTAGCTCCCAGGAGAATGGCTCCATATCATGGTCGATCACCACAACCCTCTACCATTGTTAACCAGCTCCTGGAAGCACCATCTCGGAAAGCTCACACCATTGAAATGGAAACCACAGCTGTGGGTTTCACTGCTTACTTTCAATGAGCAAAATGAAAAGACTCTGTTTCCTCAAAGGTTTTGTCAGAATATTATTTAAAAGGAATTTTCAAAGCAATCTGTTTTACTACTGATAGCTAACTCAAGGATTAAGCTAAGCTTTTCATACCTGAGCCTTGGATCCTCCCTAATTTTCTTCCTGCCTTTTTTACCCCACTGCAACACAAACAAGCCATAATCATTACTCATACCTCCAAATATTCTGTTCTGGTTTTCTAGTTAGCTTATTTTCTCTTCAGTCATTTAAAATACAAAATCACAGTCCTATATTTACATTGCATGCATCCTCAGAATACATGTTAAATTCTGAGTTCTAGACATAAAGAGTAACAATCTGTTCCATTTAAACAGTTGCCTTTAAATGCCACTGAGAACAGTAAATAACCCTGCTTTTGACAGCAGTAACAATTATGTTCTTTAGAAAGTTACAGTGCGCTTGTAATAATTAAGATGGACATGATTATACGGCACCTGAAAGCAATGCTGTGTTTGGAACACCATGGTAACAAGAGTAATCCTTAATTATGGATATTCTGAAATCGTGGATGCCATTTGAGTTACTCTTAATTATCTATCTGGATTAAGACTCAGGAATTGCCTGCTGCAGAGGGACAGCGCTGGCTGGTGTAAGAGCACGGTCCTGGGGACACAACTGTCCCAGGACAGAAGCTGTGAGGACCACAGCCGTGCAGGAGGAGGTCAGGCCACGCTTGCCGAAGAGGGTTCAGACA